AGAGAAGTAGGCATCTGGTTTTATGCTTGATAGAGTTAGGATGTTAATCCATACTGTGCATGTTTATTAGTTTCTCAGGATACACATGCTTATATGTTAGGAGAAACCATGGGCAAGCACAATTGAGGAACATACTTAACATACAATGAACATACATCATACATACAAAATATGTAAGAGGGGTCAGAGTGATAGTACATCAGGTAGACCATTTTCTTTGCAGACGGCCGACCTGGATTTGATCCCTGGGACCCTACATGATTTCCTCGGCCCTGTAAGGTGTGATTACTGAGCTCAGAGTCAGGAGTAAGCCATGAGCATAGCCAGGTGTGGAACAAAATTATATATACATGGAAGAGAAACATCGTCTGGGTGTGATTTTCAGTTTGTGATATGGTGAAAGGTAATTACGTATCAAGGAGGGCTCCAGTGTAAGCCTTCACTGATGGGTACTATCAAGCCAAGGGCCTGGGGTCCTTATTACTACAAAAGTGTTCAGAGGATTGTGTCTTGGCCAAAACAAAGCCAAATGATTGTTGGTGGCCTCTCCTAATGAAGACTTATCACATCCTGTGAACTACAAGCCTCAGGACTATTTGATTTCGTTTTTTTAACCACAGATACTCCTAGGTCTTTCGAAGGAAAAAGACTAGGAATAAAATTGCAAAATGTTGAGAGCATTAAATTATACTAGAGAAATTTCTGTGAGTTTGTGTCGTGGCCAGGCCCTTTTGGTAGTCCTAATGCATTGCTTTTGAGTCAGTAGAGAAACTTAGGGATGAATTCAAGAGTCAAGAGATACTCAAGATTTAAGTGTGTAGTTCAAGTTTACAGATTACTCTAGGCCTATGAAACCAGGAAAAATAATGTCTGGTCTAGATCCAACACGTCCTTTGATAGAAACAGAGCAAGGATACACTTGCGTACAGCTTTTATACAGCTTCGATGGAAGATTTCCCATGTGCCTCTTGTTTACACTTTTCTTACTTCTCCTGAAGTATAGAGCATGGAGAAAAGCATCAGCCCCATGATACAACAGTCAACTACTTTCTTCTATCTATCTTTAATTTCATATACTATTACTCATTTATGTTCTATTGCCATTCATTCTAGGCAAGAAATCATTGTAGAAAAGACAAGGCCACATTAAGAAAGTGTCAATATTTTTCTCTTATTTCCCATTGACATCTTTCCTCTCTTCACTGTTTCATCAGTCAATTTGTGTATTTTCATCAAAAACTTTACTTTCATTTAATTTCATCATCTGTAAACTACAGGTAATAAGGTCCTAAGGATATAGTGAGATAATTCATATAAAATATTTTATGTTTCATTAAACAATGATCACAATTTAAATCATAGCCACAATGAATAATAACACTATTAATAATCAATTATAGTTCCACATTTATTGCACATTAATAAGGATAAGGTTTTCACAGTAGCGAAGAAATGCAAAGGTACAAAATCATTAATCAGCTTGAAAGCGGTGGTATAGAAAATCTCGTAAGAGCCCAAGTTTCACTCTCTGTTCATAAACATTAGTCAGATAAGTAAATACTCAACTCCACACATCACTGGAAACCTGAAGTGGTGTTATATGCTTGCCTCATTATTTGTGTGGGCAAAGTTCTTTAATATATTCACTGAGAACAGAAAAAAAAACATCATTTTCTCTTTCTCATCTCTTTCTGCTTTCCTCTTAGGTATACTTATCCTCCAGTACTGACATCAGTCAGCTTTTCCAATACATGCTTAGAATACACAGACTGTGCTCCCAGGCCTGAGATGGAGACAGTCCAACTTGTTTTGTTTCGTTTTGTTTCCAGAAAATTGAGACCTGGAATAAGTTGCCAAAAGCTAGAAATTGGCTAGCCTTGTATCACATGGGCTTTTAAAATATTCATCTATCCTTTTCTGGCAACTAACAGGATTGCAAAATTTTCATAGCATTCTAAATGGCTTCTGCAAACTAAAAACCTAAACTTAGTTTAATCTCTTAAGCAAATGTATTTTTTTATTCAACTCAGGACAATGGGCAAGGGGATATATGCATTTTTCACTGTATTTCTATGTATATTATCATAATCAAATGTTTACATTAATATACAACATGAGTATATTAGCACTGTCCTCCCATTGTTCATCAATTTGCTCAAGAGGGCCCAGTAACGTCTCCATCGTGAGACTTGTTGTTACTGTGTTTGGCATATCAAATATGTCATGGTGAGCTTGCCAGGCTTTGCCATGCGAGCAAGATACCTCGGTAGCTTGCCGAGCTCTCCAAGAGGGGCAGAGAAAATCGAACCCGGGTTGGTCAGGCTGGTTGCATGCAAGGTATATGCCCCACTGCTGTGCTATTGCTCCAGTCCACAAGTAACTCCACCATCCAGAAATACTGTGGAAACATTGTGAATTCTACTTGCATTGTTTGTTTGTTGGCATGTGTTAGAATAATATATATCCTCTCATTTGAATATTATGGAAACAAAATTTTCCATTCCTAAACATGTCACTTATCCTAAATCCAGATATATGATCGCTTCCCGTTCCCCCTACCCCTGAGTATATTAAATCAGTATAATTAATTATGTTAAGTATATTGTGTATATTAAGTACATTAAGTATACAAAGTCATCTATTTTATAACTACTTTACTAATGACTTGAAATGATAACCAATACATTTCCCCTTACAATCAAAAGATTTGCCTGTTAACATGGTTCGAATACATAGTTTGAATTATAAGCAACTAAACTATGGAATAAATGAGTTTGGGAGGAATATGTAATCATTGCACAATGACTTATACAACTTGAGGACATTTCATTGATTCCAGGAAGATGCCACTATATGTCCTTAAGTTGTGTGATGATGCCATAAATGTAGATGTCTATCCCTTATTTTGTTTCTATCGCAGCTTATATAGTCTCCTTATTCTAACTAATGTCTAATTAATGTCTTGTTTAATACTATTAAAATGTAATTAAAACATTAATTTCATTAATTTTATAATTTCAGATAACAGCCATCTACTGTCTACTGTCTGAACCCTATCAAATATGGTGTGGCAATTTGGAAAATGGGTAGGGACTGTAGGCAGTAGGCAACAAATCACAGAGGGATATATATATATATATATATACTGCCTCTCAGAAAGCCCGGCAAGCTACCAAGAGTATCTTGCCCACACAGCAGAGCCTGACAAGCTACCTGTGATGCATTCTATATGCCAAAAACAGTAACAATAATGGGTCTCATTCCCCTGACCCTGAAAGAACCTCCAGTACTTTGGAAAAGACAAGTAATGAGAGGCTGCTAAAATCTCAGGGCTGGGACGAATGGAGGTGTTACTGAAGCCTGCTCAAGAAAATCAGTGAACAGCAGGATGACAGTGATAGTGACACTGACAGATAGCAACATAAGAACAAACTTAGTTACTGCATTAACTTTAAATGTATTTTTCAGAATATTTGTTTAGTTAAAACATAACCATTTTGTGTTTGGCTAACTTATTGTAGCTTTCATTATATGGCTACAGTAGTGTTACTGTTTATGCTTTTGATACACAAAATTGGGGTAACTATACCACCAGCAAAGTGCCCAAGACCTTCCACTACTGTCTTTGTGTTAGCTGTTTATTTATTTATTTATTTATTTATTTATTTATTTGGTTTGGGGCTCACACCCAGCAGTGCTCTGAGCTCACTTCTGGCACAGCACTCAGGGATCACTCCTGGTGGGGCATATGGGACCATGTGTGGTGCTGGGAATTAACCATATATTGACCGCAGGATAGGCAAGTACCCTATTCACTGTATTTTCTCTCTGATCCTGCCATTTTAGTTTTAAAAATTCTCTTCATAGGTTCTGTTTTTTTTAATTTTGTTTGTATGTGTGTAATATTCTGCAGCTGTGCTCAGGGGACCATATTCGGTGCCTTACTGGCTGTACTATCTCTCTAGCACCTGTTGCTGATTCCACTGGGCATGTGTTCTCTTATCGTGGCATTACAAAACAAAACGAAAAACTCTTAAAACAATCAGTTTCCTTCATATTGATAGAAAATTTAAATTCAGATGCAACAAGTTATGTAGATTAAATAATTCTTATTTTGTTCTTATTGGAGGTGAGGCGGTTGCATCTGACAGTGCTTAGGGGCTACTCACAACTTTGTACCCCTTTGTTGTCCCAATTTTTTTGAAGAGAACATAGGTGCCAGGGATCAAACCCTAGCCTCCAGCATAAAAAGCAAGTGCCCTATCCATTGAGCTAGCTCTCCACTCCCACTGATTTATTTTCCTTTAATTTGGAATATTTGCTCGAGCGGGCCCAGTAACATCTCCATTGGAGACTTTGTTGTTACTGTGTCTGGCATATCGAATACTCTCGGTAGCTTGCCGGGCTCTCCGAGAGGGGCGGAGGAATCGAACTTGGGTCGGCCATGTTGGCCGCTTGTAAGGCGAACGCCCTACCCACTGTGCTCAGGGTTCCTAGGTGAATAATGTCATGTGTTATTTGTCCATTTAATAAATATATTTAAAAGTAAGTGAAATTCATTCATTACTAAAATTCTGGTTTTTTTAAAATTTTTTATTAGTGAATCACCATGAGGTACAGTTACAGACTTACAAACGTTCGTGCTTGTGTTTCAGTCATATAATGCTTGAGTACCCATCCATCCACCAGTGCCCATTCTCCACCACCGACGATCCCAGTATCCCTCCCACCCCACCCCCAACCTCAGAGAAGGGAACACCAAGTAAAGTGTGGTTGGAGGACCCGCTTGGGATGGGAGATGCATGCTGAAAGTAGACCATAGATGGAACATGATGACCACTTAAAATTCTATTTTTAAGGAATTTCCTTCATAAAATTCATATGTGATACTTACTTGAACCATATAGCTTATTATGTGCATAGATGCATATATATTCAGATATATAAGATGTATACTAAGGAAGTATGGTCACAGTCATGTTTTTCATTTAATATTGCAGATGTATATTACCAACACAATCAAAGCCAAAGGAACAAGGCTTGCTAAACCTGTGCTATGCTTGGGCTTAATGTGTTTGGCCTTTCTTACTGGACTCAACAGAGTAGCAGAATATCGAAATCATTGGTCAGATGTGATAGCAGGCTTTCTTGTTGGAATATCTATAGCAGTATTTCTGGTAAGTATTTGTTTAGATGCTACTTGTTTTTGACTAACTTATGTAGCTACCTGTAATAAATTCAAATATCAATTATTGAATTTGTCTAGAGATGATACACCAAGTGATAATATATATTTTAAACCATTTGTTTCTTCTTCCTCTCCATTTGCTCAGTCTAAATTCAGGCTTGTGGATCTAAACAATGTTAATTCTCACTTAAAGGTAACAAAATAGTTTCATGTAAGTTAGAACCAAGCTATAACTACTCAATGCTCCCTGGGTAGTTTTTAAGTCTGAGTTGCTTAAATATTTCTTTTTAAAAAATTATCAAGAACTTTTAATTCTGGTGTATTTTAACTCTGGTATATAATACTCATAAGTACTCCAGTGCTTCAGCAAAGTACTCTCCAACAGCCACTGTGTCTCAGAACTTACTACAGGTAAGATTAACCTGTCACTATTTGTGAGATGAACCTGCTTTCTTCTAAATACTAAAGAGTTGTAAATAATTCCCACAAGTAGTTTCAAAACAATATTATCTTAAAGCAGATCATCCAAAGGAATGAAGCTTACAGTGTGATTTCTCATGAAGTAAGTTTGCCATCGCTATTCCTTAGAATTTTTCCATAGGCTTTGGTTGTTCAAAAATATTTTTTCATCTGTCTTTCAAATTAATCAATCTATCATAGGTATGAACATAGAACATTTCATCAAAATGGGAAAAAGTTGTGAATTATTAATTAAAACTCATTTTGTATGGCACATTTCAAAAAACTATTTCCATTTGATTACATTTAACTTGTTTTTCACTGTTATGTTTACTAGCTCAGCCTTTTTTCTTAGAAACAATCAATAAACAACAACAAAAAACCCCACATGAACCTTTCAATTTACTTACTATAACTCTTTGAACACAGTTAATATGCCAAGCAAGTGTAGTAAAAATCTCTTGTGAAACAGTGATGGCCATGTACTAATTCTACCCCACATGCATGCTGCTTTTCTCTCTGAAGTTACTTCTGATTTCAAGGAATTGAGGCCACTCCACCCACTTCTCTCTCCAATTTATCGTATAGCTTTTGGTTGGTGACCCAAATTCCAGCCAAAACCTTGTTTCACCGATCCCAATTAAAACAGGTAAAACTTTCACAAAATAAAGCAAACACCCGCACAAATCTCAAGACAGTGGGTAATCAGAGCAGACCAAGGGTCAAAATGTTAGAGTTCTGTTGTCAAATTTTATCTGCACCTCAGCTCTAGAATTTCTTCCCTGGCATCGTAACAGAATCCCTGCTTTCCCCTAGAGTATATAATTTTCTTCCTCGTTCTTCTAAGGAAGAGGCTTTTTCCAAAGCCAAATCTAGTATCCTCTGTCTTCTCAGTCACTTCCACATCTGAGAATCATTGGTGAATGCTGAACTGGGCTTGTACTCCTGGTACCTTCCACCTCTGCAATTTCACAAATTGCTAATTGTCCATCACATTATCACACATCCAGGAAAATGATCCAGTGAAAAGAACACGAGAAAGTATATCCACTCAACCTAAATGTCAGCTTTCATGCAAACACAACCTATCTTTTGGGGGAGTGGCAGTTCGCTTCGAAATTTGATGATAACAGCCAGGTTATCCTCCGAGCCCCGACATTCCCTCCTTCATAAAATAAACCTTTACTGGGCCTCCACTGTAACCCCAGCATGGTGTTTGGTTCTAGTAATGAACCTATGAAAAAGGTATGTTCCTTTCACTTAGCTACATAATATTCTAATAATACAAGAAAGGTACAGTGTTATAGAGGGTTAAATGTAATGACAAAAGCGTGTATGTTCAAGAGATCAAATCTTTGCAGACTCTAAAGTTCATTCAGAGGATTTGTTATATAAGCTTGAGAAGTCTATAAAGTGGGGGTGTTTAGGACAGGGTAAAGAGACAGAGGACCGGAGAGTAGAGTGCACATAGACGCTGTGAAACACATCAGATAATAAGCATGTGTGGAGCCCCAGGCCCAGTGGAGTGTGCACTGTGGCACTGTAGCAGCTGGGACAGTGCACGGTCATCCAGCATGAGGAGAAAATAGAAAAGCACATTTCCACTTTCACGAAGAGAAAATAGAAAAGCACATTTGGGGAATAACCTGCGTGGTCTTGATGTTCAAATTGTATGGGCTTTCGTTTAATTGTAGTTGATTTTGGAGTCACTCTCATGGTTTAAGTGAGTTGAAATTTAAAAAAAAATAGAATTGAAGTTTTGTTTCTATATGTTCTCAGTTTTGCCATTAGGTGACTTTCCCATCTTTCAGTTTCTTACCTTTTAAATCAGGCTAATGATAACTTTCTTAGAGGATTATGACTACCAGGGGTTATGAAGGTCTAACATTATGGTACATGTGCAATGAATGGCCACATGAATGCTTGGAGAACATTCTATGACTCACTGTTTTCATTCAGTTCCTTTTATTCTGTGATTTGTGTTTTGAAAATATGTTGGATGCAAAATAAACCCCATATGAGGACAGAATAAATACATTATAGAGGATCAAGGAAATAAAACAAAACAAATCAGGTCTCACTGGATACAGTGAGAAGAGAGAAATTCTGTGTGGTATTTAGGACATCCCCTAAGAGTTTGAAGTGTGAAAGCACCCTGGAGATAACGAGATGAAAAAGAGGAAACAAGCTATAATGATCCCTGGGTTTCTCTTTGGGCAACTAAATAGGGCACTTATTTCTAGGATTTATTTATAGCTCTGACTTGCAATATCTTGGGGGTGTTTCCAATGATCTTATGATGTGTGCAGAACTATAAAATGATTTTAAAAATTTAACACAAGTGACTTCACACTAAAAGGCATCCACATCCTCCAGTCATCCAGACCCAATGTCTACCAATTGCCAGTCCATTTCCATTCAAAAATATTTCCTCTATATCTTTTTTTTATTTTTTTGCCATAACCTATCGATTTTAGAGATCAGTGCTTCTTCCCTTTATTATTGCCATGCTTTCAACTGCGTCCTCATTAGAGACTCTCATCTGAGGACCCCTGTACTTCTAGACATATTATGACATCAATGCAAATGAAAAAACAAAACCTACAAACCATTTGTTTCCTACTACTTCAAATCCAGACACTTGGACTGAGTTTCTGAAATTTTTATCTCTCCAGGGAAATCCTGTATTTGAAATCTTGTCATTTTTCTTCCTTTGTCACAGACAAGCTCTATTTAGTCTACACTTCTAGAAAGCCAGAGAGGGATCTGGGAATCAGACAAGTATAGGTTCAGTTCTGTTTTTACCACTCTCTGACGTGGAACCTGGGAAAGCCATGGTGATCTCAATATCTTAATTAGTGAGACCTTTTCTGAACTGTAAAGAGGCTACTTCTTTCCTCATACTTTTTTGCTAACACATATAAGCTCTTTATAGAGAAGGTTTTATGCATTTTTCTTCTCTGAGTGATCCCAGTACAGAGTTTAGGACATAAGAGGTCTCAGGAAATATTTGATTAATAAATGAAAAAGGAACTGTTTTCTGTCATTGCCAGAGATTTTCTGTGAGTTAAATGAAATCACTCATGTTACAAGTAAGAGTTGAGTAAGGTAGTAGAGAGAAGATTCTGGAAATAACACTCATTCTTGAGGACTGTGTTCACATCCCTTAGACATTTAATGTTTTTCTTCAGACACCTATCAAATTACCAGGTAGTATCCTTGATTTTCCCTCATTCCTACCACACTAGTTTTTCTGGTTATAATTTAACAAATAATTGTTTTCTCAATTATCTATCACTATTATCCCATTTTCTTTCTATTCAAAGATAGAGAACATAAGCTTGTACTCTGGAAAATAGAAAACAAATGCCAGTTGAATTGTAACTCTAGATTGATTAATGTTATTTTATTAAAAATATATGCCATAAACTATTTCTAAGAACATAAGGATTACAATAATTCGAGTTTGCTGAGCCACTACAATAGTTTATTGTGTCAATATGTAAAATCACATACCATATGACATCATGATACTTATATATGACCACAATAATGTTATTTGAATATTTTTCCTCTAATCAGATTTTTCCAGGCAGTCAGTATCCTCAAATAATTCTCACAACAGCACACTGAAATGAACTTATTATTGGTCTTATTTTGCAGATTAAAAAATCTTGGGGACTAGAGAAAAAGCACAAAGTGTACCTAATCCCACTTTGCTGCCTAGTGCCACATGGCCCCTTCAAGATGTAACATTATTGACCCCCAAGCACCACCAGAACATCCCTGGGTTCCTGAGACTATAGTGCCTGAGTAACCATGCATCCCACGGTGCTCGAATTGAACAACCTTGCCTGGTTGGCTAGTATCACTGGGAATGACCAACAAGCCCTCAGAGCATCGCTTAGGAACCTGCCCCCTCATTCATTCATTCATTCATTCATCATCCTGTTATTCGTCGATTGCCTCGAGCAGGCCCCAGTAACGTCTCTTTCATCTTAGCCCTGAGATTATATTCAAGGCTCTTTAGGCGAATGAAGACCCATCATTGTTACTGGTATTTGGCATATTTGGTACACCACGGGGAGTTTGCCAGACTCTGCCCTGTGGGCAGGCTACATTCGATAGCCTGCAAGTTTGTCCAAAGTAGGAATGAGATAATAAGATGTCATAAAAAGATGTCCTGATAAGATGTCGCACGGCCACAAATGTGGCCGCGTGGTTCCGGGAGCTGGATTTTATAGTCTCTGAGTCTTGGCCGTTGATGGGATTACACGGCGCCAGGGGGCCAGGTGGTGGGTGTGACCCCCACCCCAGAGCATCGCTTAGGAACCTGCCCCCTCAAAACAAAATTTTAAAACTGGAGACTGTACCCTAGATATATTAAGCAATCTACCCAGGCTTATAGAATTAGTAAATAAGAAACCACAAGATTAAAGTTCAGGTCTATTTGATCCCAAAGCCCCTTTATTTATCACCAGGCACCAAAGATTGCGAGTAACAGTGGCCATAGGTGGATGAGACTGATTTTATTATCACTACTGGAAAAAGGAAACAAATATATGTGAAGTTTTGTTTTCACTGGTGCCACTTCTACAGGAAAAGCCAGGACATTTACAAAAATAAATTTACTTTAACTTATATAGGAGCATTAGGAATTTTGAGAATTTTTAGTGTAATATATACGCAGTCATTGATTTATTCTTTTACTGGCACTGGGAATGTGCTGATGAATAAATTGAGTATTTCTGCTTTGCAAGGTTTACAACCTTGGAAAAGAATGATAGCAACAAAAGTATTATTCTAAGGATGTAAAAATGCCACATAGAGGCAGGTTTTTATGAAAAGAATCATAGCTTCATGTAAGTGAAAACAAACAATACAAAACAGGATTAAGGAAACTAGAGCAGAAATGTTACCAAGATGGAGACCCACAGAGCAGAAGCACACTGTCTGAAGACAGTGGGCATAAGAACTCCAAACAGAAATATTTGAAAGGGAGCAGACTGTTTAGAAAACCCCAGGGAATAAAGGCTAGAAAGGTGAGCCAGAGCTTAAACTTCAAAAAAAAAAACTAATAAAAATTTTTTTTAAATCTTTTAAAAAGGGAAGTCCAATATGTGTTTTATAAAAATTGTTTTCACAGCAGTGTAGGAAGAACTGGAGCTGGGGATAAATGGATTTGAAGAACTTTAGAAAGCTACACAAACATCCAGGCAAGCAGTGAATTTTTAGTCCTTGGAATTGGTGTGGGGGTATAGAATGAAATAGATGACCGACATAAGATATTGATATGTTTATGGAGTAAAATTGAGCAGAGCTTGTGTGTGTTTGAGTGCTGGTGGCATGGGGACAGGTATCCATCTCTCAGCCTTGCACGATAGTGCCCGTGATGAAGTGAGACAGTATGCCCTTTTCAGAGAGTTTTGAGGAGGAAGAAGATCATGGGTTTTACCTTAAACATTTGTTTAATTTGCCATACTTTGCCCACCAAAGAAATGGAACTGACTTGGTGATCGAAAGTAACCTCTTGACTTTTGTACTGAGAAAACTGTTACTCAGAGAACCATCCAAGAACATCCAGACTCAGGATCTAATCAGACTGTCTTTTTTTGTCCTATTAGTATTTTCAGTAATAGAAAATCAATTTTATGCCTGTGAATATTAGCAGAGAAGACTCATTAAATATTTGAATATTATTCTTAGGAAGATCTGGTAATTCCTGCTTTATAATTTAAATAACAGTGATGAAGAATATTTATTGTGTTAATAATTATTTACCTAATGTATACTGTATTAGGCATTTAAATATTACATGTGAATTTTAACTGCTTTAATGATAAAATTTTCCTTATATTCAGTTACAGAAAAGATAACTAATATAATTATTCAGAGTTTTCCAAACCCAAATGACATAAAAAATAAATTGACTTAATTTCAGAAGCTCAGAAAATATTTAAGAGAATCTTTATTCATCTTATGAGTTTTATACATTCACATAGCTATTTTATTTTAACAACATTGGAAAAATGTGGTAATTTTTTCATGTGTCCAATTTTCCATTTATAATATTAATGAAAATGGAGATATGAAGGGCTGGAGCAATAGCACAGCAGGTAGGATGTTTGCCGTTTGCCTCGCAGGCAGCCAACATGGCCAACCAGAGTTTGATTCCTCCACCCCTCTCGGAGAGCCCGGCAAGCTACGGAGAGTATCTCACCTGCATGGCAAAGCTTGGCAAGCTACCCGTGATGTATTTGATATGCCAAACATAGTAACAAGTCTCACAATGTTACTGGGCCAAATCGATAAACAACAGTGGACAATTTCAGTGGAAATATGTATTATTGTGTGTATTTCTTAAATTAATGTGAAAGTGCTTGTTTGTTTTCTTACTGAATGAAAGTCTTGTTTCATACTTTGGAAGGGAGATTAGGAGGCAACACATGCAATGCTCAGGGATTACCCCTCGTTGTGTACTCAGCCATTACCCCTAGGGGATCAGGGCCCATATAGAATGCTAGTGATAGAACCCAGGTCAGCCCTGTGAAAATCAAATACCCTAACCTCTATACTCTCTCTCACGCCCCCCTGTTACTTCCGTTTTACTGGTTGTGGTTGGTTGGCAAAATACATCCCACAGTCCAAATTTGACCTGCTGTCTATATAAATATATATGTATATATAGAAACTTTGGCATGCCAGTTAATTTATGAGTCGTCTCTGGCTGCTTCCACACCAAAACAGTAAAGGTTGTATATCTATAAATCCAAAATATTTGCTATTTTTCCTTTACACGCAAAATTTGTTGACCTTTATTTTGTAGCAGTCACTATCATCCTCTATAAAGTAACTATTTGGCAGTACATTTAGCAACTACCCAACTCCAAGTCTCTAAACTCCTTTACTTCAAGATTGTAAGGCAATGATAAAGTTGTGGTACCAAATTATCAGATTTTGATCTATATTCTGATCTTTAATCCTTTACAAAGTAATGGAAGAATATTTTAAAAAATAAAAGGAACTATTTTTTCTAAAATAAAATTTTACATCACATTTTATTTTTAGATTTGTGGATTCTATTTAAAAACTAGAAAGTAACCAAGATCTAATTGTTTTTTGCTGGTGGGAATGCTGACTGGTTCAGCCCTTGTGGAAAATAGTATAGACATTTCTCAAAAAATTAGAAATTTATCTTCTATTTGACCCAGCAATACCACTTCTGGGAATATATCCTGGAGATGCAAAAAAAGTACAGAAGAAATGACATTTGCACTTGTATGTTCATTGCAGCACTGTTTACAATAGCCAGGATCTGGAAAAAACCCGAGTGCCTGCAAACAGATGCTTGGTTAAAGAAACTTTGGTAAATCTACACAATGCAGCTGTTAGAAAAGATGAAGTCATGAAATTTGCATATAAGTGGATCAAAATGGAGAGTATTATGCTAAACAAAATGAGTCAGAAAGAGAGGGACAGACATAGAAGGACTGCACTCATTTGTGGAATATAAAGTAACAAAATAGGAGACTAACATCCGAGGATAGTAGAGATAAGGACCAGGAGGATTGCTCTACGTCTTGGAAGCCAGCCTCACATCCTGGGGGAAAAGGCAGCTGAGATAGAGAAGGGACCACCAAGTAAAGGATGCTTGGAGGGCTTGCTTGGGATGAAAGATGTGAGCTGAAAATAAACTATAGACCGAACATGATGGCCGCTAATACCTGATTGCAAACCACAACATCCAAAAGGAGAGAGAGAGTAAAAGGAAATGCACCTGCCACAGAGGTGGGGGAGGGGTGGGGGGAATTGGGTGGGAGTGATGGGAGAGACACTGGGAATACTGGTGGTGGTGAATGGGCCCTGGTAGAGGGATGGGTGCTCGATCCTTGTATGACTGAAACATAAGCACAAAAGTTTTTAAGTCTGTAACTATACCTCACGGTGATTCATTAAAAAATTAATAAAAATAAAAATAAAATAAAAATATTCAGTGATAAGCTCTACTAAAGAAAAGGCTTTTCAATAAAATGTGAACTATACAGTGTAAAATGTGTAATTATATATTAAAAGAAATAAAATTAATTAAAAGAATTAATTAAATGAAATTATTTATTTAAAAAGAAATGAATGTTAGGTTATAATACAACTAAATTGTGTTTTTGTTGAGTAATAGGATAAAATCCCTAAGATGATGACCCAAGAATATCTTAGCTACTATTTAAGATGAACCAGTAGTAGCAAGTAATTTCTTTTGTTGTTCAATTCTCTAGGTTTTAAAAGGTAATTCATCTGATCAGAAATGTCTGGAATGATTTTTAAGACTATTAAACCTAAACACTGTACAACATGTATGAAATTAGAACTTTAGGGGAGGAGTCAGGGATGTACATTTTTAACAGTGCCAATACTGTTTTTTGATGCACTACTCTGCAGTAGTTCAAATTCTGCTACCTATGAAATATGTTCAATTGAAGCAAGGATCAATTTCCTTAATGCGAAGGGTCTTCAGAAGGCCCAGAAAGCAACTGGTGAATTTCTACGAATATATGGGATACAATAATAGACAGTAAGCAAGGTTAATTAAAGAGTTGCTACTAAATTGACCATCAAATATATGAGGTTTATTATGAAAGTAATGACCTTCAAGCAATGGAAAATAATTAGTATGTAAATGAAGTTGTGAGTTTGGTCACATAGGGAAACATTAGCCCACTATGAATTTTTTGCAAGCTTACAATATTTTTTCATTTGAGTTTATAATCTAGTTTAATGGACATTTTAGAACACTTGAATGGCCATTATTACCTGAACTAAATATTAATCAATGAGTTTTCCTGTACATATTTGCTTTGGAGTAACAAAATTTGTGCAAGATAAATATGGATGTATAGTTGAATTAATATTTTATTTTATGAAATTGTATTAAAGCTAATTTATGTTAATATTTTACTAATCTCATTAGATTATTGAGCTACTTATGAGGAGCATGCCTTTGACTTAACTGTAATTTTTTTCTGAAATTTAGGTTGTGTGTGTGGTAAATAATTTCAAGGGAAGACAACCAGAAAATGAACGTGTACACATGGACAATCTGGGACAGATGCCAATGATCAGCATTCCTCGAGTAGAGAGTCCTTTGGAAAAGGTAACATCTGTACAGGTGACTCATAATTTAAAATCTAAAATGTGATTGTTTTCTAGAGGAATTAAATAATTATTCCCCAGAGTGCCTGCATAGTCATTTGTGATTTGCTGAAATAAACTTAGAGTCTAATGAGGTACATAGTAAATATTTAGTCACTGAAGACAGCATCTTAGAAAAAATGCACCTCTCATTTACGTATTAAAAATATACCTAAAATTTTGTTACTTGAGATTTTGAGGTACATGAAATGTGTTTTGTACCTTGCTATGACTCCTCGATAAGAACTGCTGTGTAATAAGCTCATTCAGAGGTAAAATTAAGTAGCTTAACTTGTGAATATATGCATTTTCCCAAGAAATATTATTACATTTACTCCTATTTTTATGATATACTCTTATTGTTATGTCTGACCTGCAATCAGCATTTAAAAAAATATTTATTATAGGGATGGATTGATAGTACAGAGTTTAAAGTAAATGCCTGAAATGTAGCCAATCCCAGTTTGATCTGTGACGCTGCATAATTTTCCCTGAAGATAACTGGAATGCAGCACTGGAGGTCCCTAAACACTATTACTGGGGGTCTTGGGTAATTGCTAGCATCACATCATTAGGCCTCTGCATTCCTGGCCAGCCAAGAACACTAATAGGGGTCCCAAACCTTTTCAGAACTACTCACGAAGCCACTCCCAATTTTCCCTATATATCTGCATGTATACTGAGATATATATGCTATATATATATATGTACCATATGTATATGTAGCACTGTCCCATTGTTCATCGATTTGCTCTTGCAGACACCAGTAACGTCTCCATTGTGAGACTTGTTACTGTTTTGGGCATATCGAATACTCACAGGTAGCTTGCCAGGCTTTGCCGTATGGGCGGGATACTCTCAGTAGCTTTTTGGGCTCTCCGAGAGGAGCGGAGCAATTGAACCCGGGTATGCCTCATGCAAGGCAAATGCCCTATGCACTGTGCTATAGCTCCAGCCCATGTATATGTAAATATAAATATATAAATATATACCACATCTGTCACAATTTCCCAAGGCTTTGCAGAACACTTGCTGTGTTCTCAGAGAAGCACCAAAGATGAGGTTGAGCTGAGTAGAGCCAGGCCGTAATTTGTGTACAAGTTCAAGGCCTCATTGGTCCGTGAACACTGAAGACTGGTGTTTAACAAAAAAGGATTTCTACAGATTTTGTAAACTTGATTGTAATGGCAAATTTAGATGCTATGTATATCTGTAACTGGCTAAAAGGTTGCTCAGTGGGTTGTTCATACTTAGCCGTCTCTTTGGCCATGTTTTAATCAGTATCTTAGATGAAGAGTTTAATTACATGCTAACCAAGTGTTTAGAAGCTATGAAGCTGTGAAGGATAATTAATACATTGGATGAAAGAATAAGTTAACAACTAACTATAAAAAGCAAATGTTTTGTATTTGTAGTAAGAAACAAAAACCAAACCTTGCACCGAGTAGAGTACATCTAGGCTAAGTGCACAGATCAGTGCAGCTAAAAAAGACTCAGCAGCTGTAGTAGGCTACTGTTTAGCTTGTGCCAGCTGCAGGATATGGCTACCCAAAGAACTGACTGATGTTAAGAACCATTAGGAAGCAGGATGTCCTGAAGGAGAGGATTGGTGGTGCACATTGCTCAACTCTGATGGGACCATTTGAGAATACTGTATATTGCCAGCTGTGGTCAGATTAAAAATGGATATTGATAAAAGCAGAATTGTTGGCACTCAAGAATGAGTGAATAAATTTGTCAGAATGGTCAGTGGATGCAAGGTCTGGATTATGAGAAACTGTAGAAATAATTTTTAAAAATGATCAATCTAGAGAAGACTAGAAGCCATGGAAGAAGTAATGTCTTCACCTAAATAGATGAAGGACTGAGTATGGTAAAGGGAGATAAATTGTTTACAGGTTTCATGATGACAATTAGGGTTTTTTAAAAAAAAAAACAGAAAATGTAAGAATATAAATAACATCCAGAAAGAAGAGAAGTATTTCTGAAAATATAATCGCTGCCTTGAGAGCTATGAATTTTTCTCTTCTATAAGGATTCAATAAAAGCCATGTAATCACTTTCCTTTAATCCTGTGGAAAGAATTCAAGCATACAAATGACTATAGAGATACTGTAAGATGACGATGATGATAATGGCCATACAATTTAATGGTAATTATAGATGTGTCAAGAACTACACTCATTGCTTATGTAAATTCCACAAGCATCATAGCTATGTGTTACAAGTGACAAACTTAATTTTATTAATATTTTAACTCCTAAAATCATATACATTCCACGCAGTTTTATTTCTTCCAGCAGTTTTAAACCTGAGTATAATTATAGTGGCAAAAACTACTGTGATAAGTCAACATCTCTTCTTTACATGTTGCTTTTAATTGAATCACTTAAACTAGTTTTGAAAACATTTGTGACTGCCCTGACTATAGTCTGTGTACTACAACTTGCATTACAGTTGGCTATGCTTATCAACTAAGTTCAGACCTGTAGAATATAAGCAGAAAATATAAGTGTTATCTGCACTTTAGCTCTTTGAAGACTTGTCCTGGACATTCTCTTTCCCTTCTTACAAAATGTAGTGACAGACATAATCTTTAATGTTTTTTAAATGACTGAAAATCATTCAGTTTACTGCAGCATGGATGTAACTATAGTATATCATGCCAAATGGAGTCAGAAGGAAAGGGACAGATACAGAATGCTGTCTCTCATAAGTAAGACTTAAAAATACTCAGCAGGGTAGGAATAAAGGCTCAAAGGCATCAGAATGAGATAACCACACAGCTGAGTGGGAGTATGGGGGAAGGAGGGATCGTGGGATCCTTGGGAGAGGGGCATAGTGTTGAAATGATGTGCATGAGAAACCATTATTTATGGCATTGTAAATCGCCGAATCTCAGTTTTAAAACATTTTTAAACTCTTCTGGGCAAAAGAGATGCTCAGTGGGCTGGAGCATGTGCTTTGAATCAAGGAGACCAGTTTCAATATCTGCAACTCAAGCCCCTAGATCAGCATTAGGTATAGCACAAAAGCCAAAATAAACAAATAATTAAATAACCACATTTCCTTAACTTCCACATGGTTAAGTGCTTTGCAAAGGTCCACCTCATTAATAAATAGTAAATAAAAAATTATACAATGTAATATTTTGAGATATACTTATGTAATAATATATTTGCAACAAATAATGCATTCAATAACACAAGTATTAATTTAGTCCATGGTTAATTAAAAATAAAGGTAGAAAATTACAGAATTTAGGAAAAATATTTAACATAGCTATGATAACAAGTAGAATCTTTTATTTCATGTACCTCTGAAATTAACTTGAGCAATCATCACAGCCTTCTACTTTTTAGTTTTCAGATTTATTTTAGGAAGGTTTTTAGGCCATACCTGGAAGTGCACAGGAACTGTTCTCAGCTCCATGCTCAGACATCTCTCCTTGTTCTATGTTTGAGGGACCAAGTGATGCCAGGGATTTAACCTGGCACTACTCACCAAGCTCTGCCAAGTATAATCATGAAGTCATGATGGATCCACATACCAACAGGGTGAACCCGGTGGCCCCAGGGCCTAAGCATTGCCTCAACTCTGAGCTCAAAGTACAGCGTGTTTTTTTTGTTGTTGTTGTTGTTTTTTTTTTTTCCCTTTATTTTATTTTATTTTTTTTAAAGTTGTAGATTTACAATTTTTTGTGCTTTGGTTTCAATTATACAATGATCAGATACCCATCCCTCCACCAGTGCCCATTTTCCACCACCATGGATAATATCCCTCCCACCCCCATCCCCCCATCCCCCCGTCTCTGTGGCAGGGCAATCCCCTGTGTTCTCTCTCTCCTTTTGGGTGTTTTGGTCTGCAAAAGAGGCATTGAGTGGCAAACATGTTCAGTCCATAGTCTACTTTCGACATGCATCTCCCCTCCTGGGAGGATCCTCCAAACATCTTTATTTGGTGCTCCCTTCTCTATCTGAATAGCCCTTTCCTCTAGGATACCCGGCTGGCCTCTAAGTTATGGAGTAATCCTCCTGGTGCTGATCTCAGCTATTCTTGGGTATTAATCTCATACTTTGTTACTTTATATCCCCCAGATGAATGCAATCTTTCTATGTCTATCCCTCTCTTTCTGACTCATTTCGCTAAGCATGATACTTTCCATATTGTACCACTTGTATGTAAATTTCATGACTTCATCTTTTCTAAGAGCTACATAGTACTCCATTGTGTAGATGTACCAAAGTTTCTTTAACCAGTCATCTGTTCTTGGGCATTCAGGTTTCTTCCAGTTTCTGGCTATTGTAAAGAGGGCTGCAATGAACAAACAAGTGCAGATGTCACTTCGACTATACATTTTTGCCTCTCTGGGATATATTCCCAGGAGTGGTATTGCTGGGTCAAATGGGAGCTCAATTTCTAATTTTTTGAGAATCGTCCATACTGTTTTCCAGAAGGGCTGAACCAGTGGACATTCCCACCAACAGTGAAGGAGTGTCCCTTTCTCGCCACATCCACGCCAGCATCGGTTGCTTTTGTTCTTTTGAATTTGGGCCAGTCTCTGAGGTGTGAGATGGTATCTCATTGTGGTTTTGATCTGCATCTCCCTGATGATTAATGATGTAGAGCATTTTCTCATGTGCTTTTTTGCCATTCGGATTTCTTCTTTGAGAAAGTTTCTGTTCATTTCATTGCCCCATTTTTGGATGGGGTTGGATGTTTTCTTCTTGTGGAGTTTAACCAGTATTTTGTATATCCTGGATATCAACCCCTTGTCAGATGTGTATTCGGTGAATATCCTTTCCCATTCTGTAGACTGTCTTTGTATTTTGGTCACTGTTTCTTTGGAGGTGCAGAAGCTTCTTAGTTTAAGATAGTCCCATTTATCTATCTCTGTTTTCACTTGCTCGGCCAGTGGCGTGGCATCTTTGAAGATACCATTAGCTTCAATGTCATGGAGGGTTTTGCCAACTTTAT